ACCTCACTTGGGCACTGGAAGTCATTTAAATTGGCTGTAGGTGAAACCATAACGGTCTTTGTAACAGAAATTGTAAGCCCAGACTTGTTCTACGCTGTACCAGTTCTAAATGAAGGTAAGAAAAAGTGTTCACTGTTCCTAATACCAGTAAGAAGACACTGTTGCAACCTAGTTAATAAAATGAATGCCTGTAGTGAACTGGACCATGTGGAAATGTACCTCAGAGAACAGGAAAATATAAAATATGCCAAAGGTGGGATCAGGGGAGCATAAAACTGAAGTATGCTCTTCATTATACCCAAATGTGTTTAACTACCAAGTGGTTTTTTTCTGTAGTTCAAAAGAAGGAGTATAGGGAGCTGGCTGCACTAGGAACCTATTGCAGATCTTGTAAGAAAGAGCCCTTCCAACCAAAACTGGGTGAAGCTTGTTGTGCCCAGTTTTCAGGTGAGACAATTGTTTGTTCTTGTATTTCCTTGACCAGGGTAAAAGAGAGCCTTCATTTTTGCTTTAGAAAAAGGAAAAACGCCAACTTGAAAGTGCTTACAGATCTCTTAATGCTGTTACAAAGGATAGTCTGGCTGCATCTTTAGGGCAAAGAAACTGCCTGACAGTCAGGGAGAGAAAATAAGGAATAGGTTGTGCCCAACAAAATGTATGGAGCTTTAAGTGGGAAGAAAACTAATTACTGTTTAGATTGCCATGAAAGTCATGGCAGAGGAGTGCAGACCCACTTCTGGATTGTGGGTGCCTGAGTAGTTTTTCACTGTTGCTTTGTGTGAGCGTGGGGCAGTGACACTGGTTATGATCAGCCTTGTTAGGCTAACAAGTTTTCCAGGCTTAGTGACCTCTTAATTCAAGTCAGAAATATTCTTAACAGCGAGGGAATTTTGATTTATTATTTTAGTCTTTCAGAAGAGGGGATACTCTCCTGGTACCTAGCTCACTATTTAAAAAAAAAAAAAGTGTTGATTCAAATAAATGTTGACTGCATGTGGCTTGTTACAAACAACCTGGCAAGTGCTGAAAATTAACTTGGGTGCTAGATCAGGTAACAGTTCATGGAAAACAAGATAGATGAATTTTAAAAAATGCGAGAATACAAGAGTACAGAGTATACCTAAGTGTTTGACAGTTGTCTTTAACTTCTGATGATGAGTTGTTGTTACTGCTTGTTGCCTTTCAGGGTAATTGAGGAAATGAGATTTTTTAAAGTTTTTTATTTTAGTTATGTTTCGAGAGGGAGTATGTGTTGAAAAACAAAAGTAAGGAGCTAGAAACAGAGTGTGCGGACATCCTTAAAACAGTCTTGTAGTAAAAATCTTACCTGTACAAGTTGAAGCAATATTCTCAAAGCACAACTTGTATCTTTATGAATACAGCAGTCAGAAACTATTCCCTTGTTTTGTGAGCCTGCTTCTTGTCAAGTGGTCTTATATATGTGCCAGAGGGTTTAAAAATTCCTGTAGAACTCTATAGATTCTTGTTCTTGGAATAAACTGTGTTTTTAAGATGATACTTCACATGTGACTGTTCTTGTCCCAATCTTTTCAGGTAATGGCCGGTGGTACAGAGCTCTTGTTCTAGAAGCTTCCCAGTCTGCAGTGAAAGTACTGTATGCAGACTATGGGAACACAGAAACTTTACCACTTTCAAGGGTGCTGCCAATCAGTGATTCCTTTTTAGAGCTGCCTTTTCAGACAATTACATGTTCACTTGCAGGTAAACAAGGTCCCAAAAATAAGCAAAACAAAAACATCCCAAAAAACCCTGACTTATTTTCTTGAACGTTAGAAATCTGTACCTGCTCTGGTGGTAGAGTTCATTCCTTAATACTGGTAAACAACATGATGATCCCACTGAAATAGTACACTGGTTAACATTGCAAAAGCTGTTTTAGAAAGCATGTTTTTAGTTCATTATCTGTAGCATTTAAGCTATTTATACTTGGAAAATTTAGCATCACATTTTCAAAAACATGCATGTAAGATTTGAGTCATATCATAAAGGAATTATTTAGATGACAAACTGGATTTTTTTTTTTTTTTTTTTTTTGCAGGAATAGAGAAAGTTGAGTGGTCTCCACTACTGCTTAACAAGTTGAAAGAAATGGTATTGAAGCAGTTCGTCGCAATTACAGTGAAAGGGTTTAACGGAGATGTTAAGTTAGTAACGGTAGAGAAACACTGTGAAAATGGTGGTCTGAATGTAGCTGACAAACTTGTAGAGCAAAGTTTGATCAAATCCTGCAGTGCTGAAAACTCACATAGTGAATGTCAAGGTACGTACTCTCGCTTAATTACTTCAGTTTACTTATTTTGAAGAACTTGTAAACACATTGGGGTGTCTAAGTAACTTCCTTCTAAAAATCTTGAATTCCACATGTCACCTTTTAATTTGGGAAGCAGTGCCCATGTGTATTTTACTCATTCACTTTGCTTGGGTTTTTGTAGGTAATGGAGGTGAGACCAAATGCTGCTGCACGGAATTAAAAGAGCAGGTAAGATCCAATCCAAGCAATACTTCCTTATGTTTCTAGAGTTTAAAAGAAACCATATGTGGGGAAGCAAATGGGAGTAGGGAGACAGTAGCTAACTGGAACATGGAAGATATGCAAAGTGTATCCTAACACTTTTTCTCAGTTTTCTGTAGGAGCTAATAATTAAAGCACCCTGAGACTGAGGGAGGATACTGTATAGATCACACAGACTTCATTAGTCTATACTTTGCCCCACATATGGCTCTTATTTTATTTTTCTATAGTGTGAAGTCTCAGGAGTGTTACTTTGTTGTCTAAAGATAGTTCTGGTGTTTTGCATCACCTGTGTCATTTGGACAAAGGGCAGCTGGATTTTTTTCAGTAATATGGCTCTGTTTTGCTGTGTACACAACTTGGCAGACAGTTGCATATGTAAGAAAATTCTTACCATGTGTATTTCAGATAGAGATTAATATTAATATGTGCCACAGTTTCAGTCATGGAGCTAGGCTGAGAATCTGAGTGCAGTAGAAGACTGGAATATGTAACAGGGTTTGCCAGTTGCAAGATTATTTTTTTCCTTCTAGAAAAAATTGAAATGTCTTACAGATATAGCATATTCACGTAATTTTTGAAAGCTTTCTGGTTTTAAGCTTTCTCCTTTGCTATTTTAATTTAGGCTATTTATTGAAAGTTTAGAACTTTAGATAAAGTGTAAAAAAAGTACACCAGAAAAGATGCATCAGCCTTTGTCAAAGTGATGTTCTTTGTCAGAGGAATAAGCAAACGTAATTTTAAAGACAGAAACCCCTTTCAAGGGTGTTTCAAACTTTCCTGTCTTCCCCCAACCACAGGCAGCAAGATGAAAAGCAAAAATGGTATTTTAGAGGTAGGAAAAGAACATTTCTGTTCAAATTTCACTGCTTCAGAGTTAGCGTCGTTACTGGGAGTTCACTGGCAGAAAGGCAGTAATGTTCCTCGGTGTAGCTGGTTTCTCTGTCTCAGTGTAGGCTGTTGAGCCCCCTTTTCCATTCCCCCTCTGTGTCTCTTTGATCTTCCAGTTTGATCTAGCTAATATGTTTTCTGACTTCAGTTTGATCATCTTCTGTTACACTTCCTTACTGGTTTTGCTCAAAGTCTCATGAGAGATGAAGAGAAGACAGATGATTATATTATAAACTGAAAACATAAGAAAATAGACATGTGTGAATAACCAAATTTAAGATTGTGATCTCAGTCCTGATTTGAGTATTTAATCAATTAGGTTTGAGGAAGCTGCTTCAGCAAAAAAAAAAGTGGGGAAAGGGACACATTCACATGGACAGGGAAAGTCAGCTAAAATTCTGCTGGATTTTCCCCCCTCCAGAAGATTTTATAACAGAAAGGAACCAATATGGGTTTTTGCTGAGTTAGTAGTGTCAGGATCTACCCTGATCTGAAACCAGCAATTAAAAAAACACCAGAATTGTGCATCTCTAATTCTTTCTGCTTATTCCACAGCTTAAAAAGCATGAACAGGTCCTGCTCTTCCTTTTAAACAAGTATGGGAATACAGATGGATTCACTGAAATGAAAAATCTGTTGCAGCCTTAAGTCTCTGACAGGCACCAATTAATTTGTCTGTAACCAGTTCCTTTTTTTGGAAGAGGAAGAGCATCCACCAGCTTAAAAAATGAGTCACTTTGTAGAGATTCTGCTGTTTAAGCACCTATATTTATCTGTATGCTTGGGTTGTTATTGTGACATAAGCATGTAACTTGAAGAATTGCAAAGTGGCAAGCTAAAAATTCTATTCTGTTTTTGTTTTATTCCACCATGTCCTGCTAAACTTCTTGCTTTTATTTTCCTGTTGAATGCACAGAAGTTTATGAAATGGCCACTACATTGTAAGTCTATTTTGTAAACTTGCACTGGAAATTATTGTAATCATAAAGCTTACTTAATTTTGATACCATTAATGTTACTTGAAAAACTGTATCTAACCTTGATTACTCTTCTTTCAGCTTAATTTCTGGTCTCAAGTTAGACAGAATTGTTCTTTATAAACTTGGTTTCAGTATCATTAAAGGTTGAATGTTGTCTTGGACTACATACAGGTAGTTCTCTCTAAAATCAGTAAACACTTTAATGTGCACCGTTCTTTATTTACACCTATGCTATCTATTATGCATCTGTGAATATTGTTTTGAAGTGAATTGTATTAGAGCTGTTTTGTGTGTAGCTACATCATCAGGATTTCTACCCTATCAAGTTTTCACATCATAACAGAAAATACCCATTCTGGGTTATGACAAAAATACTGAGTCAGATTATTAACAGATGTTCAGTATTTCTGTAGTTGAGTACCTAGTTGTCCTTTCTGACTAATCTAGGAATGTCACATTACTGTTTGTGGAACCTAATAAACATTTGCTCATGAAACTGCAGTCAGCCTTTTTTGTCCACTTGAACTATATATTTTAAGCTTGGGCTTTGTGCAAATTGGACGAATCTTGAGATTAAGCTTGTTGTGCAAGTGAAATATTTTTGTTTGAGTTCATGGTTTATTACCCTTAAATTGCCTCAGATTTTTTTCCCCTGCCTCTTAGTTTTTGTTGCATCATATTCTTGCAGTAACTAATAATTAGATGAATGCTTGCACTTGGGTTTCTAGAGTTCTGTTTGTGCCCCTGGTTCTGAACCAAAATTGTAGTTGTGTCAAGTGTCCTTTGACCCTGTCATGTAAGGCAGAAATGTTTTGTCCAAAGCTGGACCATCCTGTATTTTAAATTAATTGCTTGGGTAATGCTTTCTTCCTTGGCTTTTATTGTGGGAGCTGCTTTTTTGTGGCAGGTGGGATCTACCCCAGTTCTGTATCCTTTAGCTCCGAATCAGACCTGTGCAGAACAGAGAACAGCTGGGCAGAGCCTGGGTGCTGCACACACAGCTCATCTTGTGTCCTTTTCTTGCTGGGGAATTCTTGCATTGCTCAGCTTTCAGGGGTAGGGACTCGTTACAGCATGTGTGAGTGGCAACCACGTGTCCTGACAGAGAACAGAAGTGAAAAGCAGGATAAGGAAAGCTGATCTAGGAATGGGATCCTACTTCAGTATAGCTTCTGTTAGCGAAATAATCTTATTATGTGAATTCCACTTTATTCCTAAAAAATGTAGCTATTTATAACTCCAAAGTATATGAAGTTAACGCTTTTCAAAAAATACTGACTTGCAGAGAGTTTTTTTCTGCTCCTGCGGTTGCACATCTTCAGTTACAGAACAAAACATCCCCCCAGTTAAACAAAAGACCCCAAACAAACAAACCCACCAAACAGCCAACCAAACAAAACAAAACAAAAACAACTCCAAGCAACAAAACATTTTTGAAACAGACCCCCTACATCATTCCTCTAAGTGTAGTATGTGTGAACATGGCACTTTTACTCACCAGTAGAGTGTTTTCTGTGGACAAACAAGCCTTAGGAAAACAGTCTCAAAAAAAAAAAAAAAAGTTGAATCCTAGGTGAAGCTACTTTAGAGCTGTTAGGAGGCAGAGTAACCCGGAGCCTGTGGCTGTACTTGTGCTCTGTGCTGCTGCCAGGCCTTCTGGCTGCGCTCCAGGAGCGCAGACATTTTCAGCTGTGCGAAGTCCGTGCAAATGAGCGCATACAACAGTGTTGCTCTTAAATCTAACCTACGGCAATGTGGGTGTTCCTGGTGCTGCTTCCCCCGCCCCAATTCGAGGTTGCAGGTGGCAGGATGTGATGGATGGGGAGGAGAGGCTGTCACAGCTGAGCATGGTATAAATTCAAGAAGGGAGGAGGCTGTTCGTGAATTCCGTAGGTGCACGAGAGCTGCGCAGAGTCTGCAGAAAAAAGGTAAAGTGCACCTCGGACAGGCTTTTTTTTCCTTATATGCATATATACATTATTATTTTCTTTTTTTATTTGATAATATCTTAAACCTTACCTTGGAGGGTAGAGCCCGCGTGGGGAGGCAGAGGTGCTGGGGGTTCGCTCGCCCAGCGGGGCCGGGTGGGCTGCAGTCTGCGCCGGCCCCGGGGCGGGGGGCGAGGGCAGCCCTGGTGGGGAGCGGAGCCAGGCTGGATCAGGAGGTGATGGAGCCAGGGTGAGCCTTCCCGAGGAGGGCTTGGGCTGGTCCCCAGCGGGGCGGGCCGGTCCCAACAACGAAACCTCTCCGGCCCCTCGGAGGGGTGCGCGGGCAGCGGGATGCGGCCGGCGGGCCGGAGCCCCTGGGCCAGCCGGGGTCAGGGAGGTGGTGGTGGCAGGAGCACCCAAAGGAGCCGGTTGCACAGCTGAGGTCCTGCTCCGGGTCGGAAGGAGCCTGGCTACCGGTGAGCCCCGGCGGGTGTGTGCCTGTGGTCCCGCCCAGGGCACAGCTCTGCCCCTGCGCTCAGTCGCGGGGATTTGGGCAGGCTCCGCTGCGACACGTGGTGAATCTGTTCTCTGTAACGAATGAATAGTGCCGCGCTACCTTATTAAAATAACAAACCCCCCCATCGCCCAGAAAACCAGACCCAGCGCACGCTCTAGTGCTCGAATGGATTTGTTTCTAGCTCTTCTAGGGTGCGGCCAGGGGAAAGTGCTGAACCTGCCAGGGCAGGCTTTCCAACAGGTTGTGTCCCATGTCCTTAATAAAAATCTTTCTGCAGAAGATGCAAAACCAACTTGATTAAATCTTGATGATCAAGGAAGGACTAAAGGACCTGGAATGATACAGGTAATATGTTTGGACGTTTGTACTTCATAAAGAAACGAGAACGGCTGTTGTCTTTGAATACAACAGCAGCTTTTCCTGCTATGGTGCAATGGGTAGAGGAGGACTCAGGCTGGTTCCTAGTTGTGATACAAATTCATGCACCTGTGAGCAAGTCACTTTGTCTCTTCTTACCTTGGTTTCTGTGTATGTTAAAGAGGGATGAAGATGCCTTCCCCAGTGGCCTGGACTGGAAAGAAAATGGAGATGGCTGGACCCTGCTTCCGAGTTATCTGGGAAAATGTGAACAGACATTAAAATGTGACCTAGTAATTGTGAAAATTACTTCATGGGGACTTGTGCTAAGTTGACTTCCACTTTGTTTGTTTATTTTGCATAGTAAAGATGAGGCATTACCGTGAGACAAGTCCCTCATATAACCACATTTTCCCACTTCATTCAGAGAGGGCTGTGCTGTACAGGCAGTGTGTGTGCTGAGCCATTCTTCATCTTCTCTGTGCTGAGCTATTGACCACATCTTCTCCTGTGTGTGTTCCTAAAGGTATCTGGGTCTTCCAGGAAGACTCTGAAAGGAATAACTAGATGGAATGACTTAAAAGTTAGGTCTCTTTTGACCCTACTGCAGTTTCGGAAACAAACAAAAAACCATGTGGAAGATTCCTGTTTTCTAGAGTAGGGCCTTTAGGAAGAGCCCACAGGCCGCTGTTCTGAAAATGCATGCAGGTATCAGCTTGTACATGTTTGTGGGAGTGACACCATGGAGATAATTCCCAGGTTTGTGGTTTGTCTTTGGGGCTCACAGAGATGCAGCAGGAAGATAAGGTGTGCAGCAGGGTTAGTTTTGTAAAAGGGACCAGGTGAGATAATCTCAGCATGTCTCATATTCTGAGAGTTGAATTGAATACCAGAGATGTTCAAAAAGGATCTCTCCCTTCAGCCTCTGCTTTAGGTAATCACTGCAGCTAACAGGCTTGGAAAAAGTACAGTTCCTCATTTTTGGCACTATCAAGTGCCTTGGGAAGGGCAGACCAGAATTCTGTTTCCTCGAGAGAGATTCATCACAGCAACCTCCAAGTCCTTACTCCTGCTTGGGGTTATTACGAGGTTTGTCCTTCCAAGCTGGTGCCTGTGGTTCAAGGTTTGACTTCTTCATCTACCAGCTTGATGCTCTTTAGCCAGTAGTTTGATTCTGCTGCAGACAGCAAACCCCTTCAGCACTGCTGGGAACACAGGCAGGGGAGACTCTTGGGACAGCAATACTGATAAGTGAAATAATAATAGAGGTCTTATGTCTTGTAAGATGAGGTGACAAACCTAAGGTCTTCTTGTCCCTCTGGGAAGCTCTTGGACAAAGGCATCTGTGTGGTGTGATGGTACATTTAAGGAATAAAGCAGAGATATGTTGTTTTGTTGATATGCACAAGACAGCTGCCTGCTGCAAGAGCACGGAGTGTGATCCTCTTCGTTCTTTGGGAACCATTCACACCTGCTTGTGGCATAGGTAGATCAGTAGTTGATCCACCTCAGGTGTGAAAGTTTTTGGCTGATGTAAGGCAGTGCAGGTCAGGCCAGACACCCAGCTGCAGATTCCCTTTCCAGATTTGCACAACTCCGGGCAGGGGGTGACAAAAATAATTACAGTAATTGCACTGGAACCCATAGCCTTGAATTAGTTCTCAGTAGGTTAAGTTGTCTGTATGCTCTTATAACCTCACTATAAATTAAATTGTTTGGTTGTTTGTTTTCTTATGCTGCCTTTGGTTTGTCCTAAGATATAAATTTCCCCAGATCCCCATTCCACTTTTCTCAGCCACTCCATAAAACATTTCTTCCCAGCACCGACATTGGATGCCTGCTGCTGCAAGCAAGTGCAGAGTGCTTGCAGTGCTGAGGCAGCTCTGCCTCCTTTGGGTGGTCTTGCATGTGGCATCCAGCAAAAGATAAAAAAGGTGAGGCATTCATGGAGACACTCCTGCTGCTCTAGCCACAGGCAAAGTCAGTAGCATGAGTTTTTCTGTCAGAATAAACTACACAGTAAGTTTGGCTCAAGCTCTTGGGTCAGAAAAGTGTCTTTTATTCTGTAACTTGTGGGTCACACAGGACCTGATCTGCAGTATGTTGATTTTGACAGTAGCCCCTGTGAGCAGTGCTGCAAGTCTTTTTATGTACAGGAGCCCTTATTGCACAGACAAAAACAGCCTGTCAAATCTCACTTGTTGTAGAACAGGGGGAGAAGAATAAATAAGCTGGTTTTGCAGAGCATCTTATGGAAATTTAATCATGTTTATAGCTTGGAGAAAAACATTGTCAAAACTTTTAGACTGAAATTTGTGATGTTGTTTTAAGGAGAAGTTAAACATTTCCCTGTTGTCTTCCCCCCCTTCGGTTTCAGCTCCCACTGTTAGCTGCCCCCAGTCCTCAGGCTATGCCGGTGGCTGGGCAGAGGGGGCGCCTGGAGCTCTAAGAGACATGGCCCCCTGCCTCCAAACCTCAGCCAAAAGAATAAAGTACAATTTACATATGGAAAACAAGCTGAAAGAGACTAAAACAGAGATTGGCCTGAACATCAGATGAGCCCACAGCAGGAGGTTGCCCTCTGCGAGCCAGGCTGGTCCTCCCCAGTGGAATGCTGAAAGGTGTAACACCACAGGGTTGTAATGGCAGTGACAGGAGGTCGCTTGGCTTGTTAAGAACATGTCCTAATGAATATGCAGTGTAATCTTTCCTGCTTCCTCTGCTATTGAAGGAGGACAGTTTGAAAAATGAGCTGGAGATACCTTTCGTTGCAAGCCGGGTCTCTGAGATGAGGTGGTAATTAATTAAAGCATCTGACTGGTAGCTTTAAGTGTCTCCTGCTTGTCCCGGTAAAAGAGTAACATTTGCCCCAAAGTGGTGTTTGTGACATTAATGTTCTGGTAAGGGCCTGTAGAAATGGGGTACTTTCATATGGATACACACAGGATAGCTGCTCGTAGTGGTGTTTCATGTCTGGCAAGTTTAGCAAAGTACATGAGACCAGTTGCAACCCTTTTTTTCCCCCTTTCTTACAGAGACTCCAGTCCCTTCTCAGGCAGGTGCTTGGCTCATTGTAGGTGCAGTTGTGCACCTGCAGGTAGCACAGGTGACCATAGTAGCCCATGGTGCTGGGTTCACTGTGTCTTCAGACCACAGTTTGATTTTGTCTCATCAGTAAGAATAAGCAAACCTGGATATTTGGCAGATGCTGAAAGACATGTTGGGAAGGTACTTGTCAAGAAGATCTCTTCTCCCCTCTACCTCTTTCTCCCCTCTCGTTTCTTTCACTCCTCCAAATAAGGTACGTGTGGTTATACTCTTACTTGGCTTTGTGTAAGTTGTCATCATATTTAAATGGCCTGAGTATGAATCTGGGTACAAAAGTAGGAGTTTTGACTGACTGGCTGTGGTTTGGAAAAGAAAAATAAATTACTTTTGACTCTGTGCTGAGGTAAACATTTTTGAGATTCCCTTCCTTAATGGCCACTAAGATAAACTGAAAAGGACCTTCACTCACCACCCCATCCCCCAGCAGAGCTGCTGTCTAAAGTTGCTGCTGCTAATCCTGGGCTAATGCTGATGTGCAGCAGGTGATGATGAAGCTTTCTTTCAATTCCTGCTGCTGAGAGTCTACCTGGACTGAAAGCAAAGAATTCATTGTGCAGATTAGTTGATTTAAATCCAAGATAAGACCGAGTTGTAGAAACATCTTGACCTGTCATTGTTTTGTATGAAAAGAACCTGAAATCCCCCCCTCACACACACCTGTCACATCTGGTTGCAAGCAGAGGCTTGTCCTCCATTGGGTGATGTGAGCTCTGGAAATAGCTCCTAGAAAGAATGTCCTTGGGGCATGGCAAAAGAATGACCTTCCCTCTGTGGCATGTGCCAGGGCTTGGAGCTTCTGAGGGACATAAGGGCTCCCTTGGTGAACTCATGTTTTGTGTTGACCTCCCTTTACTTAACCAAGCTTGGGTTAGTTTGATGAAGTCTGGTGGGGGTGTGAGAGGATGTGATGAAGGGTGATGCTTGTAAAGCACCTGGTACTGCAAGACACAGTGTTACTGTGTTAATAATCCTTGGTGACACTCAATCCCCTCTTCATTGTGGACCTGGGCAGGTAACTGATCATGGCCTGCTGCAGATCTTACCTTGTCTGATGAGAGGGGTGTGAGGTGCAAGCAGCTGCATAGGCTTAATGAGCCCTTGCTCTGAGCGGTGTGTCTGGGATGGGTGCTACAGATTCCCCCGGCAGAGGGAAGGATCAGAGACTGATGCTCTACTGTAAGACAAGCCCATCACTTCAAGTATCTCTCCCACTCTCCTGAGGAGCTGGCCCAGAAGAGAAGTTTCTGATGCTTAAAGCTCAGCTTGTGTCCTGGGGTTTAAAGTTTTACATATCCCTGGGAGTACGCCTGTCTCTTGATAAAGTCTTCCCATCTGTAGAAACACAAGGGGTGCTGGCACCCAATCTGAAAAATTGGGGAAACTGAGGAACATTAAATCCAAGGTAAAACAGCAAGACAGAAAAAGGATCCATCACTCAGCTCCTTCCTCTGACTGAATACGTTCCTTTCTGTGCAAGCTAATATAGACAGATGTGTTCAAGGGCGGTGGTGGAAGGTTGGACCAGGACAGGCAGTGTGGAGACCCCATGGGACACCCAGGAGACTATTTGTTGACCCCCACTGCCCTGACTCGTAAGGTTTACCGGATTACACTTCCAAAGAATTGGCACCTGGAGTGATGGGAATGGGCCTATTTCGGTGATTTCCCCAACATGCCTCAGTTTTTCCCATCTACTAATTAAATATATAATTTGCTGCAGACAAGTCTTTCCTGAGAAAAACCCCCCTCTGTTTTCTTGGAGAAACAATTGGTTAATAGAGCTGGTAATAAAATATGCTCTTATTTGTCTTTAACTACACGAAGAAAATCTGCTTTTGCAATGACAGAGGCAGAAACTCATTGGGAATCTGGTCAAGGGTGTTCTAGTGAGTGCTTTTAGTCTGGAGAAAAAAAAAAAAATGTGTTTGAAACAGAAAGCCAAGGGCTCTGCCAGACACACTTGGTCTAAATCTGAGCACGCTTGAAAGTGTCACTCAAGTCCTCCAATGATGTGATGGCAGCCTTGCTGATTTCAAAGGAAAAATGAGCAGAAAATTTACTTGCCTGGACAGTTATACATAAAAGCATCTCCCCAGAAAGCCGGCCTTTGAAAAATGTAAGGCATAAAAGAGCCTGTGGTTGAATGTTGTTGAAGAGCTATGATGAGGACATGCAGCAGTGCTGGCTGAGGCAGAATCCACGGGATGGGTCCCCGCTGTGGCGGGGGACACGGCTCTGCCCTGTGCTCAGTAAACCCCCAGAGTGGATGTGTTCAGCTCTCCACCGGCTTCCTGAGGGACACAAAGGCCCTGGTGGGATTCAACTTTGAGAGGAAGGTGCAATGAAGAGGAGGGACATGGAGTAAGGAGAGAAGAGGTCTGGGTGGGCGTGGAGGGGAGGAGAGAAGGGCAGGCTAGGCTAGGCAGTCCCTCCCTCCCTCCCTCCCCTGCAAAGCCTGCTCTCCCTGCTTGTGATAGGAAAGGAGATGAGCAGGGAGATTTTCTTTTCTATCTTTCCCTCATCTTCATGTTTTGTCCTTTTGTTTCCCACCCTTCTCCCCAGGGCAGGAGTTACTTTTGCCCCTCAGACAAAATGTTTCTGAGCCCATCACCTGAGATGCCCAGCAAGGAGATGATCAGCTGCAGGTAAAGAAACTGGCTTTAGGAACTGGATTCTTATTGCTCTTTTTTTTTTTCCCTTCCCAGATTTGTCACCATGAGCCTCTTGTCACTTCCATCCATCTGCATTTTCCTGCTTTCCCAAGGTACATTTAAATTCATCATTTTACATTAGTGGTTTTTGTCTCAGGTGCTTCCCCACCTCTGGCTGGAGTTCTTCATTCTGAGGAATGAGAACCAAGTCAGTGCCTCTCCCGGAGGTTTAGGAATAAACTTCTGAAACATAGTTTCACACAGGAAGCAGAGAAAATAATATACCTGGAGAAACAGCTTTTCTGAGAATTTGAACATATGTGACTGATCTGTAGGTGAAGTGTCTAATTGATATGGGAAAAGCTGAAGTTGTTATCATAGTAAAAGTGCATAAATTTCTCCAGTCCTTATGACTGAAATCTCAGAAGCCTAAGCTTGGTCTAGCTCTCATTTTTGCACTGTCCCCACACACAGTGAACATAGGGTCTGTCCTGTGTGCTGGAGTCATGTCCTTGGCATTTTTCATCCTTTCTCTGTCCCTGCTAGAAGGAATTTCCTGTCATAGGTAAACTGCTGTGTCACCAAATTATTTTTTTGCAAATATGAAAAGTATACAGCAAACCAGAATTTTTGCTATTATAGATTAAAGCAGGTGTGGGGTTTTTTGGGTTTGTTTTTTTTATTTGTAAGGCAGTTTGTAGCATTCATGGGTGATTATTTGTTTAATCCCACAGTTTTGCTGGTGTTGGGTGTACTAGAAATCCATGTTGACCAGGAGATGGTCGGCAAGATCTCAGCTGCTGTCAAGTGTAAGTTTGCTTTATAAAGCAAGTCCTTTCTATTTCTGTTTTTTTCCTTCCTTTGCTTTTTTTTCATTTGTTGCACCCATTCAGTCCATAAAGTCCCCAGCAATGATCTGGCAAGCACAGCACAGTGGCTGCTTCTGCCCTAACATGGCTTTCTTCCTCATTGGTGTTGGCTCTTCTGGGATGCAACTTACTCTGTTTTTCCCAAATTGGCTATTTGCCAGCTGGCTGGTGTTTCTATCAGTTCCTTCAGAGCTGACTTCAAGCAATCCTGATTTAGAGAGCTGTGTTTAATTACAGACTTGATCAGACATCCCACGTGGGTAGTTTTTTCAGGCTGTAAAGACAGCAGCAGTCACGATGCTGTGAGGAGGGGTGACAGAGCTCTGGCTGGCTGGCAAACCATGTTCACCTGCAGCTCCCTGGATGTACTTGCAATCACTGATAAACTGTATTGTGTGTTCTGCTAACCATTATTTTCTGTTGGCTGTCAAGTGATAAATTACATTTTTTCCTATGCTGGGAATGCCCTCCAGCCCCATCCTACAGCACCATGTGTTCAGTTCAGATATCCCATCTTGAGGTGCTGTGTTTGGGTGTTCCTCACTGCTGCACATCACCACAAGTCCTTGGGTGGGCTGTAGACATCCTACTTACAAGTCCCAGGAAGAAAACTGCATGGTTGCAGCTGGAGCCCCCTCCTCGTACTGCTCAACTCCAGAGCAACCTGAGGAGCATTTCTCCATGCTGAGTCCAGTCCGGGCTGGGGGCACAGCAGCTTTCTCTGTGCATGCTTAGGCAGGCAGCTGGGTTCTTGCATCTCCACGTTCAGCCCGGCTCAGAGGACAAGGCTGACAGGCCGGGAAGGCGCTGGAAGGGGGGCTGCGCTCCAGCTTGTCCTCAACACAGTGCTCCAGGGCAAGGCTGGGTGCCCTCTTAGAAGAACCAGTGACCCAGAAGGGAATGCTTTACAACTTTCAATCCCTATAATCTGGTATGAGAAAACCATAATTATAAATTCAGGCTTTGGCTAGCAGAAATGATTTGGGAAAAGTGGTGATAATAAAGAGATTATAATAATGGGGATAGAGTAATGTCACTGGCCAAAATGGTTCAAAGGTTTGGTGTGCTTGCTCTCTGTATTGAGCTTCTGGATTTAGTTTCCCTTGAAGTTGGTTCTGGTAAATGCTGCAGAGGAGACTTTAAAATTTCCATTTAAATGCTTTGAAAATGACTCTTCAGTGTCTGCAAACTGCCATTTATTTATTTATGTCAGTGAAATTATCAAAAGCATAAGCACCTCAGAAACTTGTACTTGGGAGCAGTTGTGTTCATGCAGGCAGGGGTGATACAAGGACACATCTCTGAAGACGAGATAAAAGGCAGATTTTTGTGAGAAGTGTTTCTGTCAGTGTCTGGGAGCTGTTCAGAGAGTTCATGTTTAGAAAAATAAGAGCGTGTTTTGAAAGATGTGCTGCAGATGAAACACTTTGGTCTCCAAGGGACTCTGTGCACTTTGCAAATGCCTCCTGTGTTCCCATCTGTGCCCTGGGCTGGCAGAGCCTGCAGGTCCCACCGGCACGGCCACCTTTCCCTGCTACTCACCCCTGCAAGTCCTCACAGCAAGAGCAGCTCTCCCTGCGGTTGGTGATGCTGCTCCCGTGCTTTCACTGAGCTGGGAAACCAGGCTGGGGACCTGGACTCTTAGGTGAAAGCCTGGCAGACTGTGAGAGCTGAGCTGGAGCTGCTGCAGGCCAGAGCATGAGTGCCTGTGGGCGATGGGATATCAGCATTGGGCTGCCCCCCTGTCTGCAAGTCCATTTGTCTGTCTGGATTTTCACCTCTTGGTTGTCTACTTTCAAAGAGTGGGACTAACAAAGTGCAGTTTCACAGTGTATATATTTTTTATTCCCAGTGATGCAGTGCTCTGCTTCATTAGATGTCCTTTTCCTCTTGGATGGCTCCTACAGCATTGGCAAAGGAAGCTTTGAAAGGTCCAAACACTTTGCGGGCAAGCTCTGTGATGCCTTGGACATCCATCCAGACAAAGTGAGTGTCAGGAATGTCTCATCTAAGTTTCAAGCAGGTTGGCAATGTGTGGAAAGGCCAGTGGTAACGTGCTGAGTGAAATTGCAAAATCCAACCTACCAGCTGCCATGAGGTCAGAGTATTTATCCAAAAGCCAGACAGGCTGCGGTTCCTAGTGTGCATCAGTCCCACAACACTTCCCTGGTTGAGGGCCTTGGGGTGGGCTGGTATGGTGGTTGTACTTGATTCCCTGCCAGTACCTTTCCAAATAAATGTCAGGTCTTTGGGAAGGTTGTGTCAGAGGCATGAGGTCTCTGTGTAGCAGGAAGAGGAACCTGATGCTGGACAGCCTGTGGCTTTGAGGACTCCTGATCCATGTCTGATTGTCTAATTCTCCAGAGAGATCTGGGAGCAAGGCAACAGAGGCAGGTCTTGTGTTTGCTCCTGTTTCCCACAGCTGGGATGCTTAGACTTGTACCCAAAAGCCTCCTCCAAATCAGATACCACTGCTGTTCCAGGTCCTAAGATCGAAAGCTGCTGCTCTGCCCCTGTTGCAGAGGGGCTTTCAGCTTTGGAAGCTGAAGTCACCATTCCCTTCCATCATTTTTTCACCTAAAAAATCTTTCACCCTTCACGTCTCAGCTAATAGCCACACAGCATAGGAAGCTTTCTGCAGCCTGAACAGTGATGGAAAGGAACCACAATGCATGTGTGAGGCTTTGAGAGATGCTGGGGGGGCTCAGGTTGAAAGGGACATTTACTTCTTGTGGCGCACACTTAATTGACTAAAAGACTTGCATCTAGGGACCAATTGCGATGTAGGCTTAGGCAAAAGAATGTAAACATTTACTGTTTGAAGATTTAGTGTTGTGTTTTGTCTTGGTTTTTAAATACCATCCTTCCCCTAGTCTTTCACTTAATCCTCACATAGACTGGACTGAAAATCAGTAGCCTTTTTGATTTCAAAGTTGTCACATTCCATAAAACTTCTTGTCAGACTTCAGTGAAATATTCTGGATCTACTGCCCAATACAGACAATTTAGTCCATTTGCATTTTCAACTATAGAAAATGGTTTTAGAGGAAGTAGTAGAAAAGTTATTGGTTTGTGTTGCCTACTGTGCTCAGTGCCAGAGGGAGCTACTCCTAGTAATGGAAAGATTTCCTGCACAGTGTCTAAATGGGTTGGTATAGAAGGTGTTATTTATAAACTTACTGTCCCTGAGGCTACTAGGATCTAAATATAAATCCTAAGCTGCCTGTAACTGCAGCAAAGGCTCCTGTTGCCTGTAGATGAACTTTCTTGCCTTGTTTATAGTCTGTATAGATAATACTGGGGTTTCTGCTCTGTTTTGAGTTCATTTAGAGTGCCAGTGGTTCAACAGGGAAAGCAGTTTGCCTCTATACAATTTAGTCTTCCCAAATTTGTAAATTGATCAAAAGAGTAAGCTTGCACAGACACCTTTCATAATCTTTAACCTTTTCTTTTAGGTCCGTGTGGGAATGATACAGTTTAGCTCAACTCCCCACCTTGAATTCCCACTGGATTCTTACCTAACCAAACAAGAAGTGAAAGAGAGAATCAAGAGGACTCTGTTCAGGTCAGCTTATTTTACAGCTCTTCTCTTTTTCTGGGCTATGAATAATTTCTGGATTGAGAGTTTTGTGAGATTCAGACATCTGTTTTGCTGTCCAAACACAATGTGGTGCCCCCTGGGAGGGAGATGAATAAACACTGTGGTCCATAATCCACAACCTGCTAAAAACATGCAACCTGGTCTGTCTTTGGCAGGGAAAGTCGATAGGGGAGAAAGTTTTCAGAGTCCTACTATAACATGGTAAATTCCAGATTTTTCTGGCCATTTGTGCCAGGCAGTGGGTTACACCCTCCATGGAAAAGGAGGCATGATGTTCCCTCATGGCCAAGCAAAGGCAGGACAATGTGCTGCTTCATTTTTTGGTGGTTACAATTTCCTGTGTCCTGAGAAGTAGTGATAAATTGCTGGTCTGTAGATATCTGTGCATGAGTGCTTGCTGAATTCAAGAGGATCAGGTTTTCAGATGGAAACCTTTTTTCTTTCTGAATGTTAAGACTTGGATGTCTTCCCATGACCTCAGGAAATGGAGCCAGAAGTTCATGGAAGCACTGTCCTTAGAGCCTCTTAAAATCCAAAGTTTTAATCTCAGAGAAATACATTTGGATCTACAAAGGACCTGACAATCACCCCAAAATAAAACTTGTTTTGGTGATAGACAAGGTACTGGTTATGGCCTGTGAGTGTCTATTCTTTTAGCTGATCTGCTTTAGGATTAAAGATTATATCAGCAATCCTCATGGATGTCTTCTGCTTTCAGAATGATGTACATATTGCAAGTGAATGTGATCACTTTTGCATTTTTCAAGCAAGATCAATTGGCTGGTTTTGCTGTATTTCTTTTGATAAGTTTAGCCAATCAAGAAAACCTCTCGTGTACTGTTACAGGAAAAACTTTCCAGAAAACAAGATACATCCTCCTCTCTGGCTGTTGCTCGAAAGTCTGTGAGAGCAGAGAAAGTGAAGCACTGTTTTGTGTCAGGCACTGAAATTCCTTCATGACAACAGATGGATGCTGACAGATCAAACAGAAATAATGACCTTGTGCTTGGCTGTTTCATCCAGTTTAAATGAAAAGCTGACATTTTGAAGTAGATAAAATAGTTATGGATGGATTCCAGTTGGCTTCTGAAAAAAAAAAAAAAAAGAGTGTTTGTCATCTTGGTTGAGAGGCTCCTTGATGTGCTTCTGATGAGCCTTTTGGCCAGTGAGGCATTTCCTGACTTCAGCCCTGTGCTCCAGGCACAACGCTGACAGCACTTGGAAGGAGACAGCGCTGGACTGAAGTGAAGCTTTTGTGATTTATTCAGAGACTGTTGGTCTCTCTCTGTGAATGCTGTCCAAAGAGCTTTGGAATTCATTGGCCAGTTTCAGCCATATTCAGTGGTAATCTCAGAAGCTAAATTTTATATGAATTTCTTTCATATAAATCAACAGGAGAGAAACCTTCTTAGTGCTGTTCCTAAAGAAAAGCAGCAGGAAAAGTCCGGACCTCTTTTGGATTCAGAAAATCCTTATTGGACTAAAGCTTCAAGCACGCTTCCACTGTGTCAAAAAACCCAGCATACCTCCAAATGCAAATTGATAAGAAATTGAATTTAATGTGTTTTGGTGGAGAGACTCTTTATTGACTTTTTCTAATCCTCAGGGCTCATATGGGCACAGTGTACTGAGTTCGTCAAGATTTAGTCATCACACTGACTACACACAATGTGTCTTCCCTCATGCATATCACTTCTCACTGAAATGTCTGATAGATACAGATATCTGGTCAGAAAAAGGCAGATTTGAACATGCTGTGAATACATGGTCACCGAGTATGCTTTGACATGATGGAGTACAAAGGAAGAAGTACCTCAAGGAAGAAGCTCAAAGCAAAAAGGCCTGGCAGATACTGAATGAAAAAGGTTTCTATGAAAATCAGAGGATAGTTGGAAAAATAATGAATTTGGGCATGATGAAATGCTTTTGTAGAACAAGCAAATCAGGAATCAGATGCTGAAGCAAAGGATGGATGTTCAGAAAGCAAATGAGGTGTGTTTGTGTCAACGCCGATGTAGGAGAACATGAATCCTCCAAGGAAGGAGTGACACTTCTGGTTTGGTTTCCCTGGCTCTCTCTGGATGGCAGTAAAAGCAGCCCTAAAGGGCAATCACAGAAAGTGATTTATAGCACAGTTCCTTGGACAGAATTAGAGGGCAGCTGGAAATGTCTCTTTTTTGGTCTAGTGGCTGTATTATCACCAGATCTGTGCAATATTCCCAGTGAACTGGAATCAAATATCCAGTTGAGGACTGCACGTTACAGACTGCTTGCGTTATACAGATGGAGAACTAGCAAAAAAGGAAGAGGGAGACTCATGTCCGTGCAGGACTTTACCCCTTTGAGATAAGCAGAAATTTAGCCCTCCAACAACAAAAAGATGATGCCTTGTAGGCAGGGATTGAAGCTGGCTGAAGAACTTGCAGTGGAAGTTGCCCTCAGTTTTTCCAGGGGACGAAAAGCCTTTACCCAGCGTGTTGTGTTGTAGCAAGGCCTTTGGTGTTGGCTGGGTGGGGAACAAAGGTGGTTGATGTGAGGCTTGAGTTGGTTGTGTCAGGTGGCCATAGCAGGGCCTGAGGTGCCTGGGCAGTCTGAGGCTCTTATTGTGGGAGGTAGGGAGGGAGTTGGGGCATCTGGGAATGATTTCACCCAGTCATCTTGGGATCCACCTGCATGGCCCACCAAACCTCACCCTGCAAGACAGAGGCGAGACCACCTCCTACCTCCTATCCAAGGTCTCTATCATGTTACTCATGGCATTTACTTAAATAAAACTTCAGTGTTTGGCTCAAAATGTAATCATTCCTGCCTCAACCTGACAGAGATCATAGTTTTATATATAATTCTGATGACATAGAACATGGAGTCCAGTCTTGACTAGGCATCTCTAACAGTCATTTAATGTTAAATCCTAAAAGCAGAGGAGGACAGTCCCTGTCCATGGAGCTCACTCATAAGAATTAACAACTAGAGTAAATGTGCAGCCCATGAAAATAACCATACCCTGTCCTTCCCCTCCTACATCTCTGTGCATGTATAGCACTCCCCTTTTTTATTCCCTTCTCCTTTATTTTTAGCACCCTCTGCAATGAGGAGCTCCTTGCCAGTTCACATCTAGTATGCCATCACCATGCACCTTGCTGTGCGGACACTGGCCATAGCCCTGCCTGCCTGCAGTCAGCATCCCTTCTCTCGGGTGCACTCTGCTGCCAGAGGGACCTCTCTTGTCCCTCCCCAGGCCTTGTGCTGATGTGCAGTATCTACACGCTCAGCAGGGCAATCAGACTCTCAGGTTAAGGAGGCATCCAGGAGTCAGCAAATCTTATTTTTTAAGAATATCAAAAGAAATGAGTCTCAGGATTTCTAAAGCATCTTTGACTGAAGCTGTCCTCTGGCAAACTGTACCTTATTTTCTACTTATACTGCATTCAAGATTACTTTTCCTTGGGAGTTATTGCACAGCTGCAAGGCTTGATGTCTGCCCTTTCCTAGTGCTTAGCAGCAGCCCATTTTACCTGCTGATTTATGTCACTGCTGGAATGTGCCCCCTTTGGCACCAGAGTCCTGCTGTGGATTTAGTACTTTGCTACTGAGAGGATTGCTGAGTATTGAACTAATCAGCTTATACCTCAGGAACATTCCCTTCTCCAGGGAATATGGAAATTGCTAAAATATGCCAAAATATGAAGGTACATGGTTCCTTGCACCACCAGAAACAGCTTTTGTGGGGCCAGGCAAGAGGGATTAGATGGTTTTGTGGAGAAGAACTTGGGATCAGTGCTCAAATCTACCTCTGTTGTCTTGGGTCCAAGATGACACTTAGTTTTCATCCCTTCAGAGGTCAGCTTGAACGCCCCTCTATCTCTGTGGATGTTTTGTGTGGCAACAAGCAGAAATATGCTACATTTGCCATTACCAGAGGGGGGAAATTTGAAAATCAAATTTCATAGCAGAAGGGCTTTGATTTCTGCTTTTCTAATTTTTATCTCCTTGCTTTCTAGAGGTGGGAGCACAGAGACAGGTCGAGCTCTGAAGTACATTCTCCGCAAGGGATTCCCTGGTGGCAGAAACTCAAGTGTCCCTGAAGTCCTGATCATCATTTCCGATGGGAAGTCCCAGGGCAGCACTGTGATGCCTGCAATGCAGGTGAAGGAGAGACACATCACAGTTTTTGCAGTGGGAATCAAGTTTCCAAGGTAGGGAACTTTCCAGAGTGGGAAACAGGAGTCCCAGCTAGGCAAATGGCAGGTCCTAGTGAGTGAGGGGTGGTCTTGGGCTAGATATGAGTTTTGGGAAAAGGGGAATTTGCAGATTAACACAGGTGTGGAGGAAACACTGCTTTAGTGGCTGATGTAAAAGGAGGACCAGAGTTAGTGAGGGAAGGTTTTCCACTCAGGAGAGCTGTGCTACTGTCTGAGACTAAACAGAGGAGGACCTGGAAAACTATTTGATGAGTGTCATGGTTTTGTGTCAGCTCTCTGTTGCACAAGGGTTGGCCTTTGATACGCAATTCTTTGGGGGGAGACGAAGCAGTTGAACCCTCCCTTGCCTGGCAGGTGGGAGGAGCTGCACATACTGGCCAGCGAGCCTCCCGAGCAGCACCTACTCTTTGCTGGAGATGCTGATGATGCTGCCAACGGCCTGTACAGTGCCCTGACTGGCTCTGTCTGCAGTACCACTGCTCCAGGTAACCCCTCTCCTGGCTCTACCTTCGTGCCCATGCTTTGAGCTTGGACCATGTCACTGAGTGAGGAAGATGAGACGGGATCAGGAAGCATACAGGGGAATTAGCAGGTGTTGCACTTCAAGGTAACCTGCTTCTGGTGCCCAGACTGGATGGTGTGCTTGCCAGCTACTTCTTCAGATACTTCTTGCAGGATCTTAAATCTTTCTGTTTCTCAGCTCACCTTTGAAAATGAGTATATCAGTCCTTGTGTATGTCATGGGGGATAGAGGGATAAATACAATTGTGTGACATTTTCTAATGGACTTGGCTGTGTGTTGAGGGGAAGCACCAGGGGCTTGCTGGAGACAGTAAAAAGATAAAACTAGAGTGGTCCAGAGGTAGAAGAAAATCAAATATATGAATGATAAAGGCAGAAAGGGGGCTGAAAAGCTATAATTGAATCCTGAACTCAGCAGTGCAAGGTTTATAGCAAAGCAAAGGAGGCTGAATAGTGAGCTCCCCAGAAAGTGGAGTAGGCTGGTGAGCTTGTCAACAGAAAATTTCCCTTCTGGGGTCTCATGGAGGCTCTTGGAAGCACTACTTGGTCTGCTGCTGGCAAGTAGTTGAAAATGGTTCTCTTTTCAGGCAATTGATGCTAATTTGCATTTTTCTTTGCCACAGGCTGTAAAGTTGAATCCCACCCTTGTGAACGCAGGACCCTGGAGACTGTGAAAGAGCTGGCTGGGAACTATGTGTGTTGGAAAGGCTCAAAGCAGCCCAATGCAGTGCAGGCTTCACTGTGCCCCTTCATCAGGTGAGCTGGACACTCACACCTCTACAAGTGAGTGGGGCTGAGAGAACATGAGAGATACAGTAATGAGGCTTTTGTCTGACCTTAACTCTATACTGGGATGAAGACTGATGCAAACATGGTCTCTAGCCGTAGGAATAGGCTCTGCTCTGACCACTGGCTGATCTGAGAAGCAAAGAGTAAGAGACAAGCAGAAGACAATTAGCCCAAGATCACCATATATATTATAAATGGAGTTTGGATTGGTTTCTGACCTGTTGAACCAAGATCTTTTGAAGTTTACATCTCTGTAAATTTCTGTTTACATCTCTGTAGACTGTACTACAGAGGGTTTCTGGGTCCAGTTCCCTGTGCTGGTGCTGGTTCTGTTTTTGTCCACTCAGGCTTTCTTCTTATCAGAGAAGACCCTTTTTCTTTGCTTGACTGCCCTGGGGGAGCTTAGGAAGGACTTTCCTATGGGGAAGTTCCAGTCACTGTCAGAAAACACTACTTAGAATGGATGTTTTCTTTTGAAATACTTGTTTTGAAAAATTGTGTTTTCAAAGGAAAATTTGTTCAATTGAAAACACAGTAAGGTCAACCTTGAAGACACCTTGTTAATCTTTCAATTCTTGATGGGTCTTATTCTTCCTGTTTCAGATGGAAGAGAGTCTTGGTAAAATACCCATCCAGATGCTTCCGGACTGTATGTCCAGGTGGGACTTTGCTTTTCTAAAATTTTTATTTACAAAGCAGGAAAGAATAAAAAGACAGACCTTTGCTTTCAATTCTAAAAATTTTGTTCTGAGTGAGGGACTGTGATCCTTAGCAAGCAGTTCATAGTTCATCCAGTTTTTTTGTCTCATGAATATCTATTACCAGAGCTCTTCTGGATTAAAATGTCTTCTTGTCATTTCTTCTACTTGAGAAGCCTGTGAATCCTCATCTACTCAAGTGCCTATGGAAGAGGTCTGTGCTTGCAGGGTGCCACTGCTCTCCAGCTAAGGGAGTATGCAGTGATGCCTCCAGCCATCAACCTGCTACCCTGAACAGCATCAGTTTAGCGGGGAACCTGAGCCATGATGATTGCCAGCCTTCTTTGTTGTGGCTGTTGAAATAACTGTGGTCCTTCAGTTCTATTTGCAAATTCAGGTGACAGCAGCTTTATTTTCTTTGTCAGTACAACACTGTTCAAGCAGCAGACCAGACTGACTCATTCACTGCTGCTGTAAATCTGGCAGAGCAGCAGGACCTTTAGTAATTCTGTATTTATATGTATGAAGCTTCAGTGGTGTTGTTCCAAAGCAAACAAAGTGAGGTCAGTCTGGTTTGCTTTCTTGTCCTTGCCTGCTGGAGAGCCATCCCAAAATGAAATTGCCATTGAGGTGAGGGTACACATGTCCCTGTGTTAGTTCAAACTCTACAGCAAGAAGGGCAGAGCTGTGACCCCTTTTCCATTAATGGTGATGCTCACACTGGCAGAGGACGGGAAGGGGCAGGCTCCCTGTTGAGTCCTTGTCTTTCTCTCCCCTGGTCCTGTTTAGACCCTTGTGACTCCCAACCATGCCAGAATGGTGGCACATGTGTCCCAGAGGGACTGGACAGATACCACTGCCTCTGCCTGGTGGGGTACGGAGGAGATTTCCACTGTGGTAGGTGTGAACTTGTGCTCTGCCTCCTTCCTTCGCAGCTGTGGTGGGCCTTTGTGGTGCCCTTTGCACTGCCATGGGGATGACTGGGATTGGGCTGCAGTCTTTGGACTTTTCTCCAGAAGACTGGCTAAGTTTATTCCCGTACTGATTACGACTGTGTCAGGCCCAGTGACTGAGTCCTGCTGTTCAGAAACCACAGGATATGGAGAGCATCAATACTGACAGTCTCACCCTGGTGTGGCTGCCTTTGGGTGTAAATGGAGGTGCCATGTGATCAGGATAACAGAGAAACTGGGAGAGACACATGGATGTGTCTGTTGGTCCCCTCCCTGCACACACGAGCCCAGGAGGAAGTCCTGGTTTGGAGAGTTCAGTATAAGGAAACCAAGAAGGTCCTATTCATTAGAAAATGCCTTGTACTTACTTTCCCCAGAACCAAGACTCCTACTTCAAAGTGTCTCAGGGTGTTATAGGTGAGAGTTTGGTGCTTGGACTCTCTCCTTTCTTCAGTGTGTGATTGTGTACACTCAGAGTGTTTTGCCCACTGTACTAAGAAAGTGAAGTTGTCTTTTCTGATTTGAAGTTTGCCATCCAAAAGTTTGTGAATTCCCCCAGACCCCTGTAGGTATTTCCTGTCTCTAAAGGCTTATGTGGCATCCAACCAAAATAAAGCTCACTCTTGGCACACTTGTCCTGCAGCTCACGACATGACTGGGTTTGGGTTACTGGACACAATGTCCCTTCTCCACACCACAGGGCTCCCAGCAGGTCCCAGCTGAGGTGCCTGGCATGCTTGTCTTCTTGCCCTGTAAATGACTGATTGCTGTCTCCCTTTCCAGCAGCAAAGCTGAGCCTGGAGTGTGGCGTGGATCTCCTTTTCCTGCTGGACAGCTCAGTGGGGGTCACACTGGAAGGGTTCCTGCGCTACAAGGCTTTCCTCAAGAGATTCCTCCAGGCAGCGATGGGCCAGGACTCTCCAATGAACGTGGGGGTGGCCCAGTACGATGATGATGTGAGGATACCCATTGAATTGGGCCAACACAAGGATACACTCAGTCTCATGAAGAGCGTTGATGCTTTGGATTTCAGTGGAGGAAGAACCCTTACAGGCAGAGCCCTGCAGTACATTGCAGAGCACGGTTTTAGGAGCACCCCGGTCTTTGCAGATGTGCAGGATGATCTCCCACGTGTGATTGTCTTGCTCACTGACTCGAAGTCCCAGGATTCAGTGGCAGAAGCCCCTCAGTACATGAAGGACCAAAATCTCTTCTTGATTGGTGTAGGCAGCAGTTTCATGAGAGCAGAGCTGACCAAGGTGACTGGCAGTCCACAGCAGACAGTTGTCTACTCTGACCCCCAGGACCTATTCAACAGGATCCCAGAGCTGCAGAGAAGAATTTGCAGTGTGGACAATGCTGAAGGTAAGGCTGTGGTATGGGCATTGTGGGATGAGTTTGCTAAGCCATGAAGAGGTGTTCTGAACTCCACTGGGGAAGAGGGAAGGACAGGATGATAATTATCCTTGTTTGGTTTGTGTCAGTCACAGATCCAGGGACTAACTTTTCCATGAGTGATTGTTTGTGAGGGATCTCTACCTACTGGTGTGAGAGAGACATAGATAATTCTTCAGAGTGCAGTGTTGAATTTTGCCCACAGTTTCCTCCCGCTGCTTTTTTTTGGTCAGAAAGGAGTACATGTATATTCTGAAAGATACCACATTTGCACTCTTTTACCCAGGCTGCCAGGCACAGTCTCTTGATTTGACATTTGCTGTGGATGCCTCATCTGGAGTTGGCCTGGAGAACTTTCTGCGTCTGAGGCACTTTGTCAGGAGCAGCTGTTTCCACTTCACCATCAACCGAGATCTCACCCAAATTGCCCTTGTGATCTATGGCAGCAAAGCTCACACTGCGTTTGCTTTGGCCACCCACACAAGCAATTCTGCTGTCCTGCAAGCCATCGACCAGGTGCCTTTCCTTGGGGACTCAGCCTCTGCTGGCAATGCCTTGCTGCATATTTATGGTGATGTGATGACTGCGCAGAAGGGAGCAAGACCTGGTGTCAACAAGGTGGTGGTGCTGCTCACAAACGGGGGTGGACTGGAGGATGCAGCTGCCCCAGCTCAGCAGCTGAGGCACAGCGGCATCTTGGTGTTTGTGGTTGTCGTTGGGGACACACAGAGGGACACGCTACTGAGAATTGCTGGGTCTCCCAGCTACCTGGTCCACATCTCCTCCTATGAAGACCTGCAGTATTACCAAGGCTTTATCATTGAAAGAATCTGTGAAGGTAAGAGGACATCCAATCCTTACTCTGTATGTTGGTGCTGTTATTGTAGGTTTTCTGATTCTTTACCGAGTGAGCTCGATACTGTCTTTGGCGTTTTGTTGATGGGGAAATTATGACATAGAGAGCTGGTGACTGTCCAAAGCAGTCCTATAGGAATGGTAAGCAGCTAAGCTTCAGTCCAGTGGGTGAGACTGGGCATAGTATGACTGGCTCTTTCTAGCCCTGCTAGATCTAGGTTCTGCTTTCCCTGAAAGAAAAAAAAGTTTGTTCTTTTTCTGATGTTGTTTTAAATCTGTAGAATTTTCTGTGAGTTATTGTACTACCTGCAGTGTTGCTGGGGGGGCTTAATGGCACATGTTTCTGTGCTGGTCCCTGAGTGTCTTGCTCAACAGGTTTGTGACCAGATGTTTTCAAAGTGGTGAATCTGCAACCTCATTACTCCTTTACTCCTTAGTGTCTCACTACTGAAATTATGGTGTAGGCTTTCAAGAGTTTATATGTGTTGCACAGGATTTAATCTTAAAATCGGGATCTGCCCATTTTGAAGCCTGTGGACTGCTAAACTAGGCCTTCAGACAGCTTGTGATTAATTTTGTTTGCAGGACCAAATCCTTATCTTCAAAGTGGGAGGGAAGGATTTTCAAATATTCATGTAAAACCTCATGTTTGTGGGGGAAAGAAAAAAGAAAAAGGTGTGCTTTCTTCAAAACTTTGAGTCCCGAGTGCCAGTCCCCAGCTGGGGAAAAAGAAGAGGCTCTAATACTAAGATTGAAACACTTGCATGCTGAGTGTGAGTGCCTGTGTTTGATGAAAATCAGCTTTTCAGAAAGGATAGCGACCTTCATTTTCACATGTTAATGGTGGTGAAAGTGTTTCTAGTTAAAATGCCATGCTTTGTTTCTCATTCAAAATAGCCCGAGTTTAACATCTAGTTATTTACTTTTGTTATGTTTTAACATATTCATAAGACAAAACGAAGAAGAAGCATGTTTTGAGGTTCAGCACAACCAAAGGTCCTTTTCACCTCTGGGAATACCTGTGTCTCCTTCAGGCTTAGAAAGAAATACAGCACCCTCTCTTTGGGGTGAAGAGCCGATCTCCCGGCAGGCTCTGCAGATGGTTTCTACCTGGAGCCTTTCAAAGGGTTTCTGTTGCAGTGGTACTTTCAGCTATGTTATTATAAAAACAATGTGCTGTACCATGAAATTAACTGAAACACCGCAGATGAAGGGGAAGAGACAGCAAGGTTCAATGAGTCAGGATGAGAACTTTATCATTTCCTGAGACTGAATTACTGCTTTCATTTTATGTGCAGGTAATCACTGTTTGTACTAGATAAGCCCTTCATTCATTCTTCTACTCCCAAGTCCAAGACTCAATAACAGAACCATGGTCTGTGAAAGGACTTAAAAAAATTTATGACTCATAATAAAAGTATTTGAGAAACAGACCCTGCCTCTGGATACCTGGAATATGGTATTTATTCTGAGGCTCAGCTGAGAAGTGTCCAGAAAAAAGGACCCAGGGTCTAAGAGAAAAGATCCCGAGCATTAAATACCTGATTAATGGAAATAAAAGTTCTTGGGATCATCAAAGGGTATAATCCTTGAAGTGCAAGAAGCTTATTTTCTCAAATACTATGTTAACGGCAGGCTTGAGTTCAGAGAAAAGGTGTCCTGGTGGAATAGCATTATTCCCCCACATAAGGGCTGTGAGGTTATGCTGTGGAGCAGCCATGGAGGGATGTGGTGGACACATGACATGTAGAGCAAGCAGCATGGAAAAGTTCTCTGGGGAACAGCAGCGCCTGGAAGATAAGTAGTGTGTCCAAGAGACCTAGCTTTCATTGCCAGTGGTTCTACCCGCACGATGGAAGTGTTCTACACTGTCGGGTAGGACCCCATCTGAGATGTCCCATGGTGACAAAAATGTTTCTGAACCCAGCTTGACTCCACATAAAATAAACCAGACCTAAAGATTGAGATGTCTCAGGACTGTCAAAAAAAAAATTAATTTCAATTACAATTTTGGCAGTGTTAGGTGTGGGTTGAGGCTTGATGTGCATGTATCATCATCGTCTGTACAGGGAGAACAAGCACCACGTGTGTTAAGCTGTAGAAAGTCCCCTGACAGATGGGGGATAATAGTTGTGTTCTTTCCTTCTTCCCCATTTTCTATTCCCTCTGTGCTCTTCCTACTATGGAGCAAAGGGTAAAGCTAGCAACTCTACACCACACAGTTGTTCAGCAGAGGAATTTCACACCGCTACCAACACGGCGGTGGTATTGCCAGCAGACTGGAAGCAAATCCCTCTGGGATGCTGCTACTTAATGTAATGTATTGGCAGCAAGGCAGCATGAAACACTGCCAGCCCTGCTGACAGCTGGGCTCTGTTGTGTTAAGAGGGTTGGGAAAGCTGTCACATACTTCATAACAACAGCGCTAATAACTTGGGCTGTGGTTGCAGGCTTCTCTCAAACCTCCTAGAAAAGAAGCCCAGAAATTTTTCCTGTGTTGTTTTCCATTCATGCCAGCCTTGCTTCCCAGCTGACTTCTTGTCCTTGTTCTTCTCTGGTAGAAATTTATGTCCTCTCTGGGGCAAGGTGGGGTTTGAACCCCAGTGGCATCTGGGATTGTAAACCTCTTGGAGCAGGGCATGTGTCTTGCTCTGCATTGTCAGTGTCTGGATGTGGGGAGCTTAGAAGTGCTCATGTGTTCAGTGCATAGCTCTGAAGATGCTCCATTTTGCTTTTCTGGGATATGCAGCCTAACGTGATGTCACTCTTTTAAGCTTTATTAGGAATATTCTCTTCCAGATTACGATATCTAGGAAAGCTTTTCTGTTCTGTAGGTTAAACACAGAGGAGTTTGACACTTGGCACACAGTCCTCTGTATCAAGACAGGGTTGTGAATTTGCACCCTCTGCCACGTTAATGTGTTTTTCCAGTCCCATTAGCCCTAGATGGTATTTTTTGATGCCTGGGATATATAGTTGCTTATCAGCACTCCTGATGGATGTGGGTCCTAGCTATTAATACTCTAGGTGTGCCTGAGCCTGCTCTTCTCCTTGTGTTTGTTGCAGAAGCAAAAAGCCCCGTGAACCTCTGCAAACCCAACCCCTGCATGAACCAGGGCGTGTGCATCCTGGGGCCTGGGAGCTACCGCTGCGAGTGCCGTGGCTCGGAAGGACCCCACTGTGAGAACAGTAAGGATCAGCAGACAGCAACCATGGCACATGTCATCCCTTCTGAACAGATCCCACACCACCACCTCTCCCTCAAACTGTTTGGTGCTGATGTGGTCTCCATCAAACAGAAAGTGGAGAGGTTTGGGCTAGTGAGGGGAACAAGGGCTTCTCTCACGAAGCTGTGTCCTGTTTTGTACGTTCACTGAGTTGGCTGCGAGGGGACCCTGAAAAGGTCTAAAAATTTTCGTAATCTTCTGCTCTGTTCTGTTCCTCTTTTCCCTCTGCCCTGCTAGAAGAAACAATGTCTCCTAAACTACCCAGGTAGAAGGATCTGGCTCTCTTTTAATGGGAGGGAGCTATTTCTATTGGAGCATGACCCCCTCGCTATTGCTTTCACTGCTCTCCATGGTGCAAAAGCCTCCCCATTGCCTTCCTCCTCTTCAGCAGTGGAGCAATGGCCAGGAGGTTGGGAGTCACTGGCTCCCTAGAGGGGCCCTGTGCCCACAGGGAGAAGTTCTCAATTTAAGTGGGTTTCCCTCTTCTCCAGTATTTTGCTTTTTACCTGAGCCCAGCAGTTCTGAATTCCAGCCTGTGACCTCTAACACCTGTCAGCTAAGGCCAAGAGAATGCTTATTTGGTTGTCATGGACTGAGCGTGACCCTATCCCTTGGTCCTAAAGCCCTTATCTCACATCTGTGCCTCTCTTCTGCAACAGGAGTTCTCCGGGGTGATTCTCCAAGATCTCCAGTTCTTCCTCCGCACTCCCATGTGCAGTGGAGTCCAAGGGGTTTGCAGCACTTCTCCAGAGCCTTCTGGCACACTAAAAGGCACCTGGATCAGAGACACTGACACAGATGTGCCGAGTGCTCCAGTTCTCCCTCCAGGAACACTTATTGCCACTCACAAGCACAATCCAGGAAGCCACCACTGTCTTTGGCAGTGATGGAGCTGCTGCAGCACAGGGACTGTGCTGAGGCCATTCCCGGTTCCTGCATTGCACAAACTGGGCTTTCCAGTTCTCTCTTTCTTTTATAATTGAAGTAAATATTTGTGTTTCAGTATTTATTTCTGGAATTTTACATTTTCTCATCCAGGTCCTAGGGCCATGGGATTGGTTTTTTAAACAGATTTTGAGAGATCTTTGTGCTAGTTTCAAAATATGTAGAAGTTTGAGCAATTCTGGAGCTCCTGCTGAAGGGATATAACAGATTACACACTTGCAGCCACGTGCTGGAGTGAATGGCTTGTTATATGCAGGAAGACAAAGAAGAGGAAGGAGAACTGATTACAAACCTCTGTTCTGTTTCAGAAGTTGTCCATTCTGCTTTCTTCTCTGAATTTATTTGGAGGGATTGAATATTGTTTATTTTCATAGGCATTTTGTAGCTGCATATTTTTCATAAGAAGAGGTTTTAAAGAGTGTTTAATGATTGATGCAACTCTAAAGCAGAGCTTTGGCACTCAGTGTGTGTTGCTGGGTTTTTGGTAGGTGTGTTGACTGCTTTTCTTTTAGATTTGACCCAGGTCAAATCCCGTTACCTGTGCTGCAAACACACCAAGTAAGGGCAAGCCCCTAACCATCTGCAACAAAGGTCTGGTCTGTTTAGGCTCTGGATGGAGCCATGATTTGTACCATCCTTTTGGTCTTGGATCTTGGTCTATCTGCTGTGAGGTTTAACTCCACTCCTTCCCTTCCAACAGCACTTGTATCTGACAGCCACAGGCTGACCTGGAGGGACCAGATCAGTGCAGCCTCTCGAGTGCCTTTGCAGCGTGCTGGGAGTAGGCCAGAGGAGGAAGGGGCCTGGACCTCTCCCCCAAGTTCTCACCCACCCTTTCTTTCCTTCTCCTGCTGGCCATCTCTTTGCTCTCTCCTTTGCTGGTGCATGCTTTCTCTTATTTCTTTGTTTTTTGCCTATCCCAGGTCAAGTCTCACCTCTTCTTTTTGGTTCTGTTTCCATGGCTCAGAGCTTTGCCATGTCGCTTTGCTCTCGTTTTTCAGCTGGCTGAGGAAAAGTCTGCTTGTCCTGGCCTCAACCTGGACAGATGAGCTGAATTGCATTCCTGCCTTCTCTCATTGTTTTAAGCTGATCTTGTTCCTAGCACAGCAGTGATCTCTGCAGTGGTTTCTAGTGGGCTGTGATGGTTCACATGTCTCCAGAGACAGTTTGGCCACAGGCCTGCATCCTTTGGAGCATCAGCCTCACTGTACCTCGAGATCAATTTGCCTATGAAACTGTAAAATCTACATAACTGCTCCCCCAGAGCCCACAGTTCCCAGTATTGTGTTCCCGCTGCCTTTCCCATGGTGTCTGTCACATCAGGAGAGCAGGAGCAGGTCTGGAGGAGACTGAGGCAGAGGTAAAAACTGTGGCTGCCAGTGCTCATGAGAATACTGTCTGTTGTTCACAGAAGAAAAATCCCCTCACTCAGATGTCCTGGCCCCATGTTTGAATAGTAACATTAGATGGACAAAGAGAGACACAAATTGCTCTGCAGGTTTGTTGTCAAAAGAAGAATGGTCTGAAAGCACTGTCAGGGATAAAAGCTGGCACTGAGACAGGAGCAGCACTGTCATGCCTTGTGGGAGAAACCAGGCTAGGAGAAAGGAGAATTTCCTTTCTTTTCACTGTCACTTTAGTAGGTTGTCTGTGTCCTAAGGCACAGCAGAATAGAGGCTTAGTTGAAGGACTGACATTTGGGATACAAAGAGAATCTAATCTATTAATGTTACTTAGGCATGGCTGTAGCTCAGCACTGCCTCTGTTGTTAAACTGTCAGTCTTCTCTTCTCGTGGGGAGAATGGGCTAGATCAGACCCTCAGCTGACACCAAAGATGTGGTTCATGTTTTATGGCACAGAGGGGTCTGTGGAGCTGGCTATTCAGACTGCTCTGAAAAGTCTCCCCAGCCTCCCTGCATGTCCTGTGTTGTATGGGAGGGTGTGAGGGACCCCAGTTCTCACCCCTGCTGTCCTGGGGGGGTTGCAGCTCCCTGGGGGTTTCTCTGCCATTGTTTGTGTAACAGCATCGTTAGTTCTCTCCTCTCAGAGGCATTTGTCCTCTATGGGATCAGTCTGCTCTCTCAAACAGCAGCACATTTGCCTTGTCCAGCATGCAGCTCTGGAGCTGGGATGTGCTTACCTGCCCTCGTACCAGTGCCTAAAGCCATTTCTGCGGGATAGTTTGTACAGTGCTGCTGAGCACTTTGCCTTGTGGTAAATGTGTTGTGATGTAATCTTAGTTTGTGAGTTCTTTATTTTAATGCACAGCTAGTAAGTATGTTTATGGTGTGTGGGGGCTTTCCTCAGTATGCTCGCTGGGGTCCTGACCCGGTGTTTTTACCATCCTGCTGTTTTAAGCACAGATGCACAAACACCTCTGTAGGATTCAGGAATCACAGACTGCAAAATCTCATGCTGGAGACAACATTTTAATGCTAGATGAGATACATCTAGCCATGTGCATCAGTTTCTCAAGCAGAAATTATATGAAAAATTGGAAACTCATGGAGCAGCTCAGGAAAGCTGGTTTCTAAATCCAGCCCTTGGGCTCTGGGAACATCTGGCTGAGGTCTCAGTACCCAGCGTGCCCCAGGGATCCCCATGTGTCAGGGATCTACAGGTGCTGTCACTTTTCTCCTGAATGTGACTGATCACTGAAGCCTTGGATGGATCCTCAGATGGATGCTCTGGCAGTGGCAGCGCCCACGAGCTCTCCTTTTTGTATGAGACAAAGCACTTTGCAAGGTAAGAAGGTGGTGGAGCTTTGGAGGAGATGGGATAAGCCAGGCTGATAACAGATTAAGATATATGGGATGGTCTTTGAGAGACCTGCTGATCCCACAGGCAAGCAGGACACCACTGAACCGTTGTTGGAGCTGTTTTTATTTTCTTTTTAAAAATTCGAGTTTAAGATCTTGGCTAATTTCTAGGCCCTTTCTCTTGCAAATTTTAATTAAGAGTAAGTAGGTAAGTGGCTTGGATCTCTGACATGATTCCTTATTAAATTCATTCTCTCAGACTAGCTTTGATTCAATCAGAAATATTTAATGAGACTTCACCTGATGGGAACTCATTCCCTTAAGGCTGGGTCAATGTTTGAGGCTGGCAAGGGCACTGAGGAGGTGGGGTCCCTGCAAAGCCAGCACAAATCCTGTCTGGCATCAGGGCAGTGCAGAGGATGCTGTCTGTGCCAGGTCATCATTAGATGTCTGGGCTGCTGTGACTAACAGAGCCATGAATTATTCTCACTGTGTAGGACTGCTGGGTGAGCCTTGGCTGATCACGAGTCATGTGCTGGCTCCAGGAGGGAGCCTGTTTCTCCTTTAAAAAACCGGGATTTAAGTAAGTTTCATGGATGTCACCCCCTTTAGTCCCACCTCCCCTCAGCAAGCAAAATCATGCCAGTTTGGTGGTAAGTAAATGTGTACGGCACCTGTACTGTAATGGCTGCAGCAGGGAACCTGGGATTTGGATCCCACTGTGCCACCCTCACTGGGTACTGAAGGCCCAGGTCATCCTCCAAGAGGTCTGCTGATGCTCCCCTTAAAGTTAATTGGCTTCTTCAGCTTGGAAAACCCCTGCAATCTTACTCTCTTCAATAGAAATAAATCAATTTGATTCATATCCAGGACAACTTACATAAATGTTCAGGCCAACTTCTCCACCAATATGAGATTTTTTTTTTTTTCTTCCTTTAAAAACTGGCACTTCTTAGTTGCAAATCAGTGTGCCCACTGGCAATCTTGATGTGCTAATCGGGAACCCCTGGGAGCTCTTATACGGTTGCTCCATGCAAGAACTGTGGAGGTACTTAAGTGAGAAACTCGCTAAGAAAAATGGTTTGTAGCAGCAGTTTTCCCTCCAAAAGAATATGGGCTTCTGCATGAGACACACTGCAGGCCCCAAGTGGCCTGGCTGCATTGTGTACAGGTGAGAATTACACTGGGAGTGACTAACAAAGCAGTGACTTTATCAGCTGGAGCTCATACCCAGGTGTTCTGAATCAGCCACAGGTGATGGGCAGGGCTGCTGGGGAGGGAGGAACGCAACTGCTGCTGCTGCCCATTGAGTGCACAAAACCAGCCACCCTAAATGGAATTGTGCTTTGGGGATTCCTGGGCTCAGAGGCTGGCAGGACACTAACAGCCTCACTGGCAGGTTTGTGTCAGTGGGTGGGCTAGGGGAGACCTTCCCCAGGATTTTGTGCCATAGCTACAGTACCTTCCCAAACTTTCTGCAGGAGTGGAACTAGTGGTCGTACAGCCACCAAAAGGTATTTCACAGAGGTGTCTGGTGTCCAAAGACTGGCCTCAACCACCTTCTTTACTAACTTTTTTCCTTCGTTTCCAGCTAAAGCTCATCCTGGTTCTCAGTGACTGCAGCAGGTGCTAAGCCTGCACACAGTTGCTATCTAGTGGCCAGAGGAAGGTAGTGGAAGCATTTTTCACGGCTGGTTCTGTGCAAGATGGCTGTCTACAGAGATACAGGCAGGAATCCATTCATATATTCATACAAATTGTTGAGGTAACTACTATTTTTCATTGTGTTAGATCTTTGAAAATTGTTTTGCTTCATGTTGCAATCACAGAGGAATAAATTATTTAAGCTATAGTCCATTGCAGTTGTAGGCTGCATAGCTAAGGAACTTCATAGGAACTAATAGTGTTGGGGTTTGATATACTTGAAATCTGCTGAAAAGCAGAGCAGGGACAAGCCACATTACAAAGAAAAACACTGATAACATAATATACTCAACATTTTATTATAAAACCCTCTAAAGCGCCACTTGATAGGTCACAGTTACAACAAAGGAAATGCCTTGAGTTAGGAAAACAATGGGGAGGCAGAGACATTGTTTATAACATTTCTTGTTTTGGGGAAGTGTGTTGTTCAGGCCTTGCCTATGTTTACCATCCCCTGATGGAGACATCCCAGCAGGATCACTGAAGCTGACTGGGCTGTGGAGGGGAAAGTGGAGCTGTTCTCCTCCATTGCTGTCTCAGTACCACTGTGAAAGGTCTGGACAACTTCTGGAGGATGACAGCGGGTATATGGTGAGGGCATGGTACTACATGTATATTTAGTGTGTAGAGAGGGTCTCTTGCCAGTTCATCATGGGTCAAAACAAAGGCTTCATGTGTCTGTGGCCTTCCTGTGCTGTGGAGAGGGAAATCCCCAGGGTCCTGAACTATAAGATTCAGTGGTTTATTTGTATGAATTTTTCCTACGTGCAAAACCTTTCATGGGGACAACGTGACAGCTGGGGCTGATGCAACTACTCCTGAGGTCTGGAATTAGCAATTTCTCCATCTGCACCACAGTGGATACTTTTAAAGTAAAAAAAAAAAAACAAACATGTGAGCAAGTTCTCCTTTTTTGCTTCCAGGTACCCTGACCAAGTGCTTTGTTGCACCCTGGCTCTATGGCCATGGCCAGCAAGTCCAGAACCCCTTCTGGGCACATTCTCACTCACCCCAGTGCCACCACCAGCTCTAGATGTCACAGCTCTGTGCAACCCCCCAGCTGTTTGGCCTTTGTGTGGAGAAGGAACATCCCTTTAGAGCTCATCTCAAGCCTGTCAAAGATTTTCAAGGGTGAGAAAGGTAAAACATTTTTCCTGGTGTAGCTACAGGACTCCAGGAAGAACCCAGCCAGGGAACTGGTGCTGCTTTAACTTTGTAGGGTTGGAAAACACTTCCAGCCCTGTACAGCCAACCCAGTTACTGAGCCTGGGCTCCAGGGCTGAAGGACCATCAGAGGAGACAGGCAGAGGTGTCCCCAGGCCATCAGAGATGACAGCAGGCTACAGGGAGGAGACTGTGCATAGATTGGTGCCAACCCGCCCCCCCCTTCAAATTTCAATGTCTCTAAGTTTAGCAGTTTCAAATATCCAACATTTTCATTAGAAAGCGTGGCTAGGGCAGAGAGGTGTGGGCTTTGTGGGCCACACTGCCAGGGCCCAGTGTTTAATAATTTGGAAATAAGGGTGATAGCACCAAGATGGCCAGCAGCTCACCAGAGATGTGGCAGTGCAGCCTCACTGCAGGGCAGGCTGCTCAGCCCTGCCTGTTGGAGGGGCCCCTTCTGCACAGGGATTTCTTCAGCAGATTGTACAGCTGCAGCTCTGTGAGGATCAGAGACCATTACAGCAGGAGCAGGAGCATGAGGACAGCTTTACCTCCTCTCTCCTGGGAAAGGGCAAGCCCTGAAGGATACACTGAGATCCACCTTTCCAAGAAAAGAGCTGAGCAGGCCTTCAAATATGATTTCTCTTTTTTTTTTTTTTTTTCCCAGACCAAACTCCTCAGGTCATGGACCAAGATCTTCAGGAAAATTAACCGAATCTGCTTTGCAGACCTTCTTTGCCCAGAGCTCTTGGTGCTGCCAGTCTGTAACAGAGCTTCACGAGAAGGTGATCAGCTCAATACTCTGGCAAATCTGCAGCTGGTAGGAGTAAGCAAATGCTGGAATGCACCAGGACACTGATTAAAATGCCCTGGACAGGCTTCTGTGTGCTTCTCATTCATGTTTCAAGCATTGCTCAGGTGTGGGAATCATCCTTGACTGAAGGCTGGATGAAATGCAGCTGAATGATGACTGGCAGCAAGGCAGGGGAGACTTTAATTGACTGCAATTTACCGGGATAGGTTGAAACCCACCAGGGTATAAAGAATAGCAGAGGCCCCTTCTGAACCCACTACAGTCACTAATATAGAAACCTTAATAACTCATTGATAAACCTTCAGAGTAGAAATACGCAAAACACCCCTATGTACAGTAACATTCTTGTTTACATCAGCTGGGTTAGGACTTTGATGGAAGGATTGCCACTGGTTGTTATTGTTTTAGCTACGTGATTGGGATTTGTCTGAAAAAGAGCAAGATCATTTGGGATAACTCGTTTGGCAGCTGTTGAGTCCATTGCTGCATCTGAGGAGTTGGCGCGACGTGGAGGAGGTGCCTGGTGTGTGGTTGTGTTGCACACCCAACCTCCACCTACAGATGGTTGAATCCTCTGGGCCATGCACGGGCAATTCGAGTCTTTAGTCCATCTCTGAAAAACATGCTTCTAACTAGCTCCCTTTTTCTCCCATTCCTGCCAAGGAATAAAGGCAAATTAGTCAAAATGCAAATCTGGCAAGCCACAGTAGCCGTAATGCGCACAGGATCAACGTGATCATCTGGTGCCTCAGTGGTTTTGGCTGCAGGATATCTCTTCATTATAAGCAATACA